ACACTTTCAGACATCAACAAGAGTCTACACCAAAACATGATTGTCGGAGCAGCATTCCTCGACCTGGAAAAAGCATTCGATTCAGTTTGGTTTGACGGACTAATCTATGTGCTGGTGATGGGAAATTTTCCTCTTGGCCTCATCTTCCTACTAATCGACATGTTGATTGGAAATTATTTCTATACCTGGGATGGAGTATCATTATCTAACACCATATTTTTCATAATTGAAGGTCTTTAGCAAGGGAGAGTTTTATCACCAATACTATTTAATATCTTTGACAGCAATACCAACTCAGCCGCTGAGCTTGAAACGGATGATGTCAATTCTATCTCATTTGCCGATGACCGTTCAATCTACATAGCCAACTCCAATGTTGACATAATTACTCAAAAACTCCAAGACAGAGTAAATAAAATTAACAACTATTATTTGAACTGGAATCTAAAAATTAACGGATCCAAAAGTGAAATTATTTTTTTCAGACGACCTTGTAAGCAAATCAAAGTCTCACAATACAACAGAGTCAAAACAGCCAAGATTTCTATCACGGACCACCTAGGACAAACTACTCAAATCCCAGTTAAAAAGACAATAAAATACCTAGGAGTGACACTGGATCACCTACTACACTTGACCAAACACCATAAATCTCAACTGGAAAAAGCCAGAAACTCCATTAAAAGCAACGCCAGAATTTTCTACAACAGGAACCTCTCTGTTAAAGCGAAGCTGATCTGTTACCAACTTTTAATCAGACCACTGCTCACTTTCGCAGCCCCGATGCTCTGGAATATGGGACCATCCATAATGGAGAAATTACGAAGACTGGAACGCTCAGCTCTTCGTTCCTGTGTGCGTCATTTTAGAAAAGCTGAAACTGGATATAAAGAATACATCAGTAATATCAAAATATATAATCTGGCCAACATAACTCGGATTGATTGTTTTTACCTCAAACTATGTAGAAACTACTTTGACACATATAATAATATTGGAAATCCAATCATGCAAAGTCTATTGTGCCCAGATGACAATACCTGCGAAGCACACTGCTTAACGGGCTATGTGCTGCCAGAAATGTTCACCTATTGCGACCGCATGGGCCTACTGCAAAATGAATTCAATCTCCCAATTCTATACCATGACAACCGGCATTGCGCAAATAAGAAAATCAAAATCGATTATAATTCATACACGAATATTACTTTTTCCACGGTGCTGCCACAAGTGGATATTAATGACAAGATGAGGCTAGCCAAAGAATATTAGTGGCTCCAAAACGACGCAGTCCACCTAGATAAAATCCGTCGAAGAACCACTTGGGATCATTGATCCTATAGACTCAGCATCCCGAAACTCCAAATAAGTAACTATTTACTACATATCTAAGCTTTAAGCTATGCCTTTGTAAATATGTATATATATAAATATATATCACCCATACCTACCCACGTCTCATCCTCAATTCCCGTCCTAATTCCCTTCCTATAATGTTTGTTGATGTATTTTTTAATACCATAATTTTTGACATCAATTCCATTCATCTTGGTTAACTCTTATGTTATTAAATTAAATATTGATATACCTAAATATTTTATAACTCATTGTAGTTTAATTTTTTGTAAATGGCGAGATCTACTAAACGTAGCCAGCCATCATTTATTCTTACCTACTGTTAAAGTTTTTTGATGTAATTTTTAGACTTAAGTATTTCTTATGTATTCTTTTGAGTATAAATAAAAATCTACATTTTCAAAAAAAAAAGCCATCATGCCGCTTTAATTATTTAATTTATTAAATTCTAATAAATATTTTTTAACATTCAATAAATATTTATTTGGGAGGAAAGTACATTTAGTAAAATAATTTATAAGTATTTATTAATAGTTAACAAATATAGTTATATCTGGCCAGACATAATAAAATCTTTATGTCTGATTTTTTTTCAACCCAGATATAGTTATATCTGTTTAGATCTGATCAGATATGACTAGATCTGATCATGTCTAATGTATTTATCAACTCAGTTAGAGTTATATCTGTTTAGATCTGATCAGATATGACTATATCTGTTCATGTCTGATGTATTTTTCAACTCAGATATAGTTATATCTGTTTAGATCTGATCAGATATGACTAGATCTGATTATGTCTCCAATCCCTTATCTGATCAGATATAAATAGATCTGACCAGATATAATTAGATCTGACCAGATATAATTATATCTGGTCAGATCTAAACCGTTTTCCCCGGGTAGTTCCTTATTTTTTTTAACGCATGATATATTTTGTCCGTTTCTTCACTTCAATAACAGTTTTTGACGTCAAATAACTCAGATAATATAAATTTCCAATAAAAATCAAAAATAATGTGATGAGAATATCAATTTTGTTTTGTTTTTTCGGATACTTGTTTACTTACAAATTTCTGCACATTAATGTTGCTCAATCTCAAATTTCAAATCATTTCCATCTTAAAAAGACGATAAATGGCGTCGAAAACTTTAAATGAAGTGAAAAAACGACGAATAACAATTATATCATGCGTTAAGCCTGACTTGAAGATTACTTCAAAAAAATAAAAAAAAGTTAAAATTATTTTATTGTTTAATATTTCCACGTCGTGCATTTAATTTTTTAGTCCTCAAGATTACAATACTATGCATCTGCATAACTATACCTTATTTAAAAGTTACAAAAAACAAGAAAAAATTTTTTTTTGAAATTCAAAAATTCATATTTAAAAAAAACACAGTTCTAAAAATTTCAGAGTCTTTTAAGATCAGTACAAGGTACTATACAAAAAAAAAAATTGAGCCAAAATTTTAATGTCAATCGACATTTTTGACGATTTTTAAAAATTTAAAATTTGACATATTTGTCATTTTTCAAAATTTTTTTTCAATAGCCCCCAGTGTCCCCTTTCAAACAAACGAAAGGCCATTCCTGTATCTATAATAGCGTTCGAGATATTCCAAAAACAAAATTGAAAAACTGAAAAAATAGCGAAATTTTGAATTTGCATCTTTTGAACAAAATTTTTTAATTTTTTTTCCTCTGGCAGAAGTTCGTTATATGATAAAAGAAAATTTTTTTTTTTTTTTTTTAGTAATTGTGTGAGAATATCTATTCTATAACAATCTATTAAGCTTTTTATACACCCTCAAAATTTTGAGTAAAATGCAAAAAACCCAAAAAAAAGCAAAAAATTGCGAAAAACTACAGTCACAGCAATGAAAAAATTTTTCTGAACCTAGATCACGTATGATTTTTATGTATTTAAATTCACAAAATCTGAATCTTAACGTTTAGTAGCTCCTTGAGCCGTCAAAATTTGAATAAATTACAAAAAACTCCAAAAAAATTGCAAGAAATCATGAAAAATCGAAATTATCGATCTTAAAAAAATTTTTTGGGTTCAGATTGAGTATGATTTTTATGTACTTTATTCTACTGAATTTGAATCTGAAGTTTTTTTTGTCTCATTAACGTTTTAAAATGTTTTAAAATCTTAAAAAATCAAAAAAATCGAGAAAATTGCAGTTATAAATATGAGAAAAAAATCTATTAAACACGATCGTTAATGACTTAGATGTATTTTCATGGATAAAATATGATCTTAGAATTGAAAAATTGACAAAATTTTAAAATCTGTAAAAAATAGCATGTAAGGAGAAAGTACAGAACAATGTTTTCGAATTTCGGACTGTCCTTCGTTTATATCGAACTTTTTTAGCTTGAAATAAGCTACGCAGAGGTTCCCTCTTACCTTTTCTGTTTTCTTCTGGTATTTATTTTTTTAGCATCCAGCAAAATATTGATTGAACTTGATTAAATTTATTTCTATCGAAAAATCTTTTTAAAAACCATGCGAAGATAAGGAACGATCTTTCTGATTTTAAGCTGTTCTTCGCTTGTGTCGAACCTCAAGAAACTGCTACTCTTGAGCCGATGGATAAGAGCGAAGAAGGAGTGCAAGTTAGCGACGTCTATGAGAAAAACAGTTCTGAGGACGAAGAATACTTACCCGATGTTGGTCAAAATAAAGACCCTGAAACCTTCGACCAACTAGAATTAAATGACCTTGTGCAAGATATAGGGCTATCCAAAGAGGGATCTGAACATTTAGCGGATGTATTGAAGAAGAAAAATTTATTAACTAAAGGAACATCAGCTTATTTTTATCGCGATAGGGAGAAAGAGTTCCGAAAATTTTTCAACAACGGTAACGAAAATTCATTGGTTTACTTTTAGTGATGAGCAAAACAAGACCAAGACCAAGACCAAGATAGTCTTGCTATCGGTCTTGGTCTTGCTTGTCCAGTCTTGGTCTTGGTCTTGCTCAAATACTTGTAGTCTTGGTCTTGGTCTCGGTCTTGCATATCCAGTCTTGGTCTTGGTCTTGGTCTTGCTGAAATACTGTAGTCTTGGTCTTGGTCTCGGTCTTGCATATTCAGTCTTGGTCTTGATCTTGTTCTTGCGTATTCAGTCTTGGTTTTGGGCTTGCTCAAATAGTTTACGATTTACTACTTACTTTGTTTTGGAAATTTGTCAAGTCTTCTTATGGATATAAATTATAAATAATCAACAATAACTATTTATAATTAATTAAGCTTTATTTTACACTAATCAAAAAATTTTACTTGATTCTATTAATTTTGATACATATTTAAATATTATTATAATGTAATGTACATCCACAGATTCGGTAGAATCTGGCGCCAAGTTCCGTTCAAATCCGTTGTCAACGGAGCGCCAGACTACCGACTGTGTTTACTGTAAGCAGAACGGTATTTTGAGGTTGCAAAATTTTATTTAATTCTACGGTACTTTTTTTCCTTAAACTTAGTATATTATAACAGCAATTCATAC